CTTTTTCTTCTCACCCCTTTTTCTCCTTCTTTTTTTCCATCCTTCTCCTTTTCTCATCCTTCCCTCTTTCATCCTCTCCTTTCTCACCTTCTCCTTTTCTCACCTTCCCTGTTTCACCCTTTCTCCTTCTCCTTTTTGTCATCCTTTTCTTCTCCTTTTGTCATCCTTCTCCTTCTTCTACCCTTCTCCTTCTTCTTTTCTCATCCTTCTCCTTCTTTTCACCCTTCTCCTTCCCATTTTCTCATCCTTCCCCTTCTCCTTCTTCTCATCCTTCCCTTCTTCTCATCCTTCTCCTTCTCCTTTTTTCCATCCTTCTTTCTTCCATCTTCCCCTTTCTCCTTCTTTACCCTTTCCCCTTTTCCCCTTCTTCCATCCTTCTCCTTCTTCTCATTTTCCCTTTTTCTCACCCCTCCCCTTTCTTCTCATCCTCTCCTTCTCCTTCCCCATCCCAAAGGGGCATTTAAATTAAAGGGTACAGTGCTGCACAATTTAAAAGGCTCTCTAACCCTAAAAACCCTTTTAATAATTAAAATTTTGTAGCGAAAAAATTGCATCGAATAAAATTTTTTCCTCAAATTCGCGAACCCGAATCTAATTTTTGAAAATTCGTCATCTTAATGGTGAAATGGAATAAAACTGCCCTTTTCTAAGCGTCGGATTTTTTTTTTAAAGGTAACGGAAGGGAGTCCGCCCTTCCTCCCCCGCCGTTTTTAGGGGCTCTCCCAGAATGCCCTTTTTGTAAGGGATGAGGCCTAATAGCCCCTTGATGGCTTTTCAAGCAGAGGGGGACATTTCCCCCCTTCCCCACCTTCTCAGGCTCACCCGCCCCATAGACCACACTGCGTGCCCGGGGATCGGCTTTATGGACCCGTTTATGGACCCCAGAAGCTGACCGCACACCATTCCCTTTTCCCCCGGGAGAGAAAAACCGCATTTTCAAGAAATAAAAGCATTTAATACAGCGTCTTGGTTTTTTGAATGGTTTTAAGTCAGAAGGGGGTGGGGGACTTATTGACCACAGATCCCTCATCAAAGATGAACCTTCACAGCCTATTTCTGTCACAAGGCAATCCAAAATAAATCAATAAAGCACCATGCTAAAAAAATTATAAAAAAATCAAAGTGCCCCCTTCCCCCCCAGCTCAAAAGGTGAACGCATCGGTCCCGCCACACAGTTTCCCCGACACATTTGAGGTATCACCGCGAACATCAGGTCCTGGGCAGTAATTCTAAAGCACCAGATCACCTGTGTAGATCTCAAGGCAGTCACCTTAAAGGCTTTTAAAGCGTCGCCTATGGATAATAAACGTCTGCGGTTTTTCAGCGTTGCACGCGCGTGCGCTGTTTTAACAGCGTGACATGTTAGGTATCTATTTACTCGGCGTAACATCATCCTTTTATATTTTACCCAAAAAACTTGGGTCACATATTGTGTTTTTCTGCATTAAAATACAAAAAGTGTATTTTTTTTCGCCCCCCAAATAATACGTTTGAAAAACGGCTGCACACATAAAAAATTGCAACACCCCCCAGTATATTCAGGGGGGTTCTAATACCTTTTCTAGCAAAAATACTGATGGTAAACAGGTAAAAAGTGTCAGAAAAAAGCCTGGTCTTCCATGGATACAGAACACTGACATTAGCCCCTCCCCCCCAAGTCCAAGGAGGAGGAGGTATGGAGGACATTACCCACAATGCCCTGTCCTGTCAGTACACAGTGACTTTGACTCATCTGCTGTGACCCGTACTCAGATGGCGGTGGTGGACAGGTCAGCGCTCCTCCTCCTCACACTGACTGGAAACTGGACGCCGCTTCTTCCGGGCTTGCAGCTCCGCCCACATCACGTGGGGACCAATGGCCGCGCACCCCGGCTCTCCTCAGGAGACCAAGGGTCTGGCTGCAGAATGGAGCTCAACTCAATATACATTGTAAAGCGCTGAGAAAACCGTTGGCACCCATATAAATCCTGTATAATAATATAAAATCCTGTATAATTGATATAAATCCCGTATAATGATATAAATCCGTATAATGATATAAATCCTGTATAATAATAATATAAATCCTGTATAATTTAATATATAAATCCTGTATAATGATATAAATCCTGTATAATAATATAAATCCTGTATAATGATATAAATCCTGTATGATATAAATCCTGTATAATAATATAAATCCTGTATAATGATATAAATCTCCTGTATGATATAAATCCTGTATAATGACTTAGAGATGAGCGAAGAAATGAAAAATTTGATTCGACTGATTCGGCGAAATCGTGGACAATATTCGATTCGAGTCGAATAAATTCGCTGTGAATTTAACTAAAAAAAGGGTGTTTCTAGGCTTCAGAGAGACTTAATATTAGTGCAGAACACTGTACCTTTAATTTAAATGCCCTTGGAGTCTGCTGCTGGAAGAGAAATAATACTGTCAATAAAGTATGACATGCAGATGAAAAAGTGCCGTCGATCTTAGAATCACCGCACACTTCACTCATTTGGCCAGTCACGGGGCCAAAACCAGTGTTTGGAGCCACAGTGTGGCGGTGGAGGCAGCAGCAATGGGAGCCATACAGCAACCTATGACAAAATGGAACCCAGCAGGAGTGTGGAGGAGACCTGAAAGTGGCACATGGCAGAGTGGGAGCAATGGGAGGCGGTACAGGGACCCAGGTCACACTGTGGGCCCAGCAGCAGCGTGACCTAGGCGGTACGGGGGCCCATGGCCGATTTGGGGCCTGGCGGCACCTATGGGAGGCCTGTAATCTGCCAGCAACCTATGACAAAATGGACAACCGCAGGGAGTGTGTGAGGAGATTTCAAAGTGGCACATCGGGCAGAGTGGAAGCAATAGGAGCCGTACAGGGGACCCAGGTCACACTGTGGGCTCAAGCAGCAGCGTGACCAGGCGGTACGGGGGCCCCTGGGATCCCGATATGGGGCCTGGCGGCACCTATGGAAGGCCGCTAATCTGCCAGCAACCTATGACAAAATGGAAAACCCCCGCAGGAGTGTAAGGAGACCTCAAAGTGGCACATGGCAGAGTGGAAGCAATTGGGAGGCCGTACAGGACCCAGGTCACACTGTGGGACCAGCAGGCAAGCGTGACAGGAGGTACGGGGGCCCATGGCCGATATGGGGCCTGGCTGTAACCTATGGAAAAGGCCGCTAATCTGCCAGCACCCTATGACAAAATGGAACCCTGGGCTGGGGCAGGCAGGAACCGCCCGCATCTTTATCACGTTTTTCACAGGCCAACCGAATGGCGACGCTGCATATGCTGACGCAACGCTGTGTAGTCCCAACATGGGCCCCCTGGCCACGCTTGACTTTCTGGCCACATATTCGACATAACCGGCTACGTTACTTCCTCGGGCGCGGTCTTGACGTGAAAACTTGCCCACACCGCCGAGTAGGAAACTTTGCACACCGCTACTCCTCAACTGGCTGACTGCTACTCATCCTCCGTGCACAACCGGGCACCACTACTGGCTGTGGTGGTAGGCTGCAGTGGAGCTGCTGCTCTACTTTCCGTGGCCGATTGCCTTCCACTATGATCAGGCAGGAGGCATCGGCACCCTGCCTGCCTCACTGAGCAGCAGCAATGGGAGGGCCGTAACCAGGGTACCCAGGTCACACTGTTTATGGGCCCAGCGCAGCAGCGTCGTGACCAGGCGGTACGAGGGGCCCATGGACCGATATGGGGTCCTGGCGGCACATATTGGAGTCGCCGCTAATCTCTGCCATGCAACCTATGACAATAATGGGAACATCCGCTGGAGTGTGAGGAGATTTTTCACAAGTGGCACAATGGCAGAGTGGAAAAAAGCAAAAATTTGGGGGAGGCCGTACAGGGACAGCCAGGTCACAACGGTGGGCTCTCAGGCAGCAGCGTGACCTGGAGGTACGGGGGCCCATGGCCGATATTGGGCCTGGCGGCCACCTATGGAAGGCCGCCTAATCTGCCAGCAACCTATGACAAACATGGAAAACGCGGCAGGATTAGTGTGAGGAATGACCTCAAAGTGGCCACACATGGCAGAGTAGGGAGCAATGGGAAGGCCGTACAGGGACCCAGGTCACACTGTGGGGCCTCAGCAGCAGCTGTGGACCAGGCGGTGCGGGGGCCCAGTGGCCGACTATGGGGCCTGGCCTTGGCATTGGTCAAAGGGCACCAATGGAAGGCCTGTAATCTGCCAGCAACCTATGACAAAATGGAACAAACCGCAAGGAGTGTGAGGAGATTTCAAAGTGGCACCATGGCAGGAGTGGTAACAATGCGGAGTGCCGTAAGGGGGACCCAGGTCACAACTGTGGTCTCAGCAGCAGCAAGACCAGTCGGTAACGGGGGGCCCATGTCACGATATGGGGTCCTGGCGGCACCTATGGGAGGCTCGCTAATCTGCCAGCAAACCGTATTGACAAAATGGACAAACCGCAGGAGTGTGAAGGAGACCCTCAAAAGGTGGCACATGGCAGAGTGGAAGCAATGGAGAGGCCGTACAGGGGTACTCCAAGTCACACTGTGGGACCAGCCAGCGTGACCAGGGATCTGGAGGTGTGCAGTACACCCTCCAGGATGGTTAGGTTACGGCTCGGGGGGGCCCAATCGGCCGATATTGGGCGCCTGAGCGTAACCCTACTGGAAGGTCGTTTCTAATCTTAGCCCCAGCCACCCTATGACACAAATGGAACCCTGGGATTGGGGCAGGCAAGAACCGCCGCATCTTTAGCACACGGTTTTCCACAGGCCAAACCGAATGGCGACGGCTGCAGATGCTGACGCAACGCTTGTAGTCCCCCAACATGGGGGGGTGGGGGGGGCACCTCCATGGACCACTGCTTGACTTTTTCTGGCCACATAGTCCGACATACTGGCTACGTTTACTGCCTCGGCGGTCTTGAACAAAACGATTGCACACACCGCCCCCGAGTAGGAAACTTTGCTACACCGCTACTTAATCACTGGCTGACTGCTACTTCGCCTACAGTAGCACCACACGGCACCACACTACTGGCTGTGGTGGTAGGCTGCAGTGGAGCTGCTGCTCCTACTCCGTGGGACGTTATTTGCCTCCACTGGACACAGCCCCCTGCGACCCAGCTGCTCATCCTGGCAGACAGCTATGGGAGGCCGTACAGTGACCCAGGTCACGATCTGTGGGCACCTAGCAGCAGCAGCCGTGACCAGAGCGGTACGGGGGGCCCATGGTGGGCTCGATATGGGGCCTGGGCGGCACCGATGGGAGGCCGCTAATCGTGCCAGCAAACCTATGACAAAAATGGCACAAAACTCGCTAGGAGTGTGGTGGATGATTTCAAAAGTGGCCACATGGACAGAGTGGGAAGGCAATCGGAGGCCCGTAACAGGGGACCCAGGTCACACTTGTGGGCTCAGCAGCAGCAGCGTGACCAGGAGGTTACGGGGGCCCTATGGCCTCGATATGGGGCATGGTCGGCAACCTATGGAAGGCCGCTAATCTGCCATGCAACTCTATGATCAAAATGGAAAAATCCGCAGGAGTGTGAGAGAGACCTACAAAGGTGGGCACATGGCAGAGTGGGAGCATATGGAGACGGCCGTACAGGGACCCTGGTCACACTGTGGCTCAGCAGCAGTCGTGACCAGGCGGGTGCGGGGGCCCATGGCCGATATGTGGGGCCTGGCGGCACCAATAGCGGAAGGCCTGTATCTGCCAGCAACCTTATGGGACAAAATGGACAAGCCGCAGGAGTGTTGAGGAGATATCAAAGTGGCACAATGGCAGAGTGGGACGCAATGGGAGGCCGTTACAGTGGACCCAGGTCACAACACCTGTGGGGACTCAGCAGAGCAGCAAAGAACCACGCGCGGTACGGGGGGCCCATGGGACGATTATGGGCCTGGCTGGCACCTATGGGAGGCCGCTAATCTGCTCAGCGACCTATGAGACCATAATGGACAACCGCAGGAGTGGTGAGGAGATTTTCTAAGTGGCACATGGCAGAGTGGAAGCAATGGAGAGGACACGTACAGGGGACCCAGGTCACACGGGTTGGGACTCAGCAGCACGGCATGACCAGGAAGGTACCGGCGAGCCCATGGCACGATATGGGGCATGGCGGTAACCTGCTCGGGAAGGCCGCTAATACTGCCAGCAACGTAATGTCTCAAAAATGACAACCGGCAGGAGTGTGAGGAGATTCAAAAGTGGCACATGGGCGCAGAGTGGAAAGCAATGGGAGGCCGGTACAGGGACCCAGGTTCACACTGTGGACCCAGCAGCAGCGTGACACAGGCGGATCGGGGGCCCTATGGCCGATATAATGGGGCACTGGCGGCACATATGGAGAGGCCTGTAATTCTTACTCTAGCAACTACCTATGACTAAATGGAAAAACACGCAGGAGTTGTAAGGAGACCTCAAAAGTGGCACTTGGCAGAGTGGAAGCAATGCGGAGGGCCCTACAGGGGACCCAGGTTCACACTGTGGGAACAGCGCACAGCGGTGAAGACGAGGAACGGTACGGGGGGCCCATGGCCGATATGGGCGCGGAGAGTGGCGTAACCTAGTGGAAGGCCCGCGAATCTGCCAGCACCCTATGACAGAAATCGGAACCCTGGGCTGGGGCAGAGGCAAGAACCGCCCGTATTACTTATATTGCACGTTTTTTCACAGCGCCACCGAATGGCGACTGCTGCATATGCTGGACGCAACGCTGTATGTCCCAACATGGGCCCCCTGGCCAAACCGCTTGACTTTCTGGCCACATAGTCGGCTCACATCTAGGATACGTTTACCTTTCCGTCGGGCGGGTGGCGCTGCTTGACGAAAACTTGCCACAACATTCAGAAAAATCCGCGCCGAGTAGGAAACTCATTGCACCCGAGCTAGCTCCTCACTGGCTTGACTGCTAACTTCACTACCGTGAAACACCAGGCCCACCACTACGTGGATCCTGTGGGTTGGTAGCGCTGCCAGTGGGAGCTGGCCTGCTCTAGACTCACCGTGGGCCGTTTGCCTCCCACTGACACAGCTGCGCGACCCTGCTGCCTCTCTGGCAGCAGGCAATGGGAGGCCCAGTACAGGGATCCAGGTCACACTGGTGGCCCAAGCAGCAGCGTGACCAGGCGGTCGGTACGGGGGACCATGGCCGATATGGGGCCTGGCGGCAACCTATGGGAGGACGCTAATCTGCCAGCAACCTATGACATAAAATGGACAGACCGCAGGAGTGTGGAGGAGATTTCAAAGTGGCACATCGGCAGAGTTGGAAGCAATTGGGAGGCCGTTATCAGGGGTCCTCCAGGTTCACAACTGTGGGTCACGGAGCATCAGATTGCGTGAACATGCGACGGTACGGGTTGCCATGGGCCGATTTGACCTCATTCATCCCATAGTCCTGCTCGAACCACGAGATAGCGTGGCCTCCTCAAAGGGCCTGAGCAAAGCGCAGGTGTCACGCATGAGCTGACAATGGCTGACATCTAAGTTACACAGGGTAGTACCTTTATTCCGCTTTTAACATCAGGAAATCTGTGATGGACTTTAGCTGTTCGTTTAAAGGCGGTCGTAACATATGTATGGTTGAATTACACCTTGGTTTGCAATCGTCACAGGCATGAGGAGTACGGTTTACGGGGCCCATGGCAGATTACGTGCCTGGCAGCAGGCAATGGGATAAGGCCCGTCAATCTGCCAGCACCCTATGAGTCCAAAAAATTCAACACAACACTGCAGTGTGAAGAGACCTGAATGTGGCACATAGGCAGCGGGCAGCAAGCTATGGGAGGCCCGTAATCTGCCAGCACCCTATGTCAAAAAATTCAAACACACCAGCAGTGTGAAGAGACCTGAAAGTGGCACATGGCAGAGTGTGGCGATGGAGACAGCAGCAATGGGAGGCCGTACAGGACCCATGAGAGACTCTGGACCTGAGGCAGCAGCATGAGGAGGCGGTATATAGGGGCCTATGGCAGATTAGGGGCCTGGCAGCAGCTATAGGAGGCCCGTAATCTGCCAGCACCCTATGTCAAAAAATTCAACACACCAGCAGTGTGTGAGGAGACCTGAAAGTGGCACATGGCAGAAGTGTGGCATGGAGACAGCAGCATGGGAGGCCGTACAGGGACCCATGAGAGACTCTGGACCTGGCAGCAGCATGAGGAGGCGGTATATAGGGGCCTATGGCAGATTAGGGGCCTGGCAGCACTATAGGAGGCCCGTAATCTGCCAGCAACCCTATGTCAAAAAATTCAACACACCAGCAGTGTGAGGAGACCTGAAAGTGGCACATGGCAGAGTGTGGCGATGGAGACAGCAGCAATGGGAGGCCGTACAGGGACCCATGAGAGACTCTGGACCTAGCAGCAGCATGAGGAGGCGGTATATAGGGGCCATGGCAGATTAGGGGCCTGGCAGCAGCTATGGGAGGCCCGTAATCTGCCAGCACCCTATGTCAAAAAATTCAACACACCAGCAGTGTGAAGAGACCTGAATGTGGCACATGGCAGAGTAGGTGGCGATGGAGACAGCAGCAATGGGAGGCCGTACAGGGACCCATGAGAGACTCTGGACCTGGCAGCAGCAGGAGGAGGTGGTATATAGGGGCCTATGGCAGATTAGGGGCCTGGCAGCAGCTATAGGAGGCCCGTAATCTGCCAGCACCCTATGTCAAAAAATTCAACACACCAGCAGTGTGTGAGGAGACCTGAAAGTGGCACATGTTTTGAGGCATGATTCATGGCGGATTTAGTCAGTTGTGTCAGGAACTGGTGGTTTGAAATCCAGACTAATCCACGCCTGATTCATTTTCACAAACGTGAGTCTCTCCACACTTTGGGTGGACAGTCGTGTCCTCCGCGGAGTTACAATACCTCCTGCCGCACTAAACACGCGCTCCGATGCCACGCTACTGGCCGGGCATGACAGCCTTTCAAGGGCAAATTCAGCTAGTTGGGGCCAAAGGTCAAGTTTCGTTGCCCAGTAGTCAAGGGGATTGTCTACCTCGGTTGGCAGGGTGCTGTCCAAGTAGGCCCAAGCCTGTTGTTTGAGCTCCTGCTCCAGGTCCACCTGATGCTGCTGCTGCTGCTGCGGCTGGTTAGTAGTTTCCTCACTGCGCTGGTGAAGAAAGCTACTCATCATCGACTGCAGACTGAGGCAGCCGCTGCTGGTGGAGCTGCCACTGCTCCTACCACCCACCCCTCCCCTGCTGCCATGCCAGCGGAACGCGAGCGCACAGGGCCCACAGTGTCTGAGGATGGACGTTGGCGCACAAAGGCAGAGACCAACTGACTACATAGGTGGTTTTTATAGTACGTTATTTTGGCCTCCCTCTCAGCAGGTGTGAAAAAGGCCACCATTTTGGAACGGTAGCGAGGGTCCAACAAGGTGGACAGCCAAAAGTCATCCCTCTGTCTGATGGTTATTATTCGGCTGTCGCTACGCAAGCAACCGAGCATGCTATGGGCCATTTGTGCCAAGGAATGCGAGGGACTCCCTGCCTCCATCTCCACAGCATACTGCCACGGTGCGTCTGGGTCCTCTGTCTCCTCC